TTTGGAGACTGATTTATTTCAAGAATGCATACATTTTCTCTGAAATAACTTTAGTGAAACCTGATTCTGGACATTCTGGATCATTAAAAAGTCTATCTTCGTTCTTGTGAAAACAGAATTTGTGTAAATCAGCGACAAATTATTCAGGTGAGTGAAGCTTTTTAAATAGTTATCTAAGATGTAGCTTAAGTCAAAAGAATCTAAACGCCTTAGCGCTTTTGTGCATGGAGCCAGCTAATGAACAAGAACAATTTCCCACGACGATATAATTGATGATTCTGAGAATAAAATATCGCGCAAAACGGTATTACAAAGCTTTAATAACTTAATTTATTGAATTTCATCATCATCGTCAGCCGGGTTGTTACTTGTTTGTTGTTGTATATATATATATATATATATATATATATATATATATATGTATACCCAATAGAGATGCAGCAACGTATATTTCGTAACTAATGCAATTTATGCAACATTTGGAGCCAAAACAGTAAAATGTGTCAATCCAAATACTGATTAAAAGTAGCTAAGATTAGAATTCTTATTTATTTGTAGTAGTTAGTTGTTGTCACCCGTGAGGACTAAGATGGAATGCCTCGTTTCCAGTAAAAAGGGTCTCCGATTCTCTATACTCACCATACGAAACACAGCAGCATTAAGCTACTATTTTACGCTTGTATTCTATGAGAGCGTGGTCCTTCCCCGGTCGAGCCGAGCCATTCATGCTACTACAACTATACTACTAATATGACTCTACCACGAGATTTGGATATAAATTATGAATGAGGAACAGGCGACCAAGCAAATTTATGGTGCAGTGGCAGTGATGACAAAGGACACCCTAGTCGGAAGTTTATTGACTAAATTAGCGATATATGAAGATATGCATACGAGGATTCATGCATAGGTTTATCGATGTGAAAAAAACGAGAGAGGAGTGTTAGGATCGTTCGTGCTATTCCGTGTATCCACCATAAATGACCCACCCTAGGGTGGATACTCGGAAACACGTGTTCATCTATCGATAGATGAATACGCGTTAATAATTGGAATTCACTTTTATTTGTTCTTCCGACTTTTTACCCCAAGTACAATTTTACACATCATATACTTTAATTATAAATTAATTTTTAATAACCACAAACCTTATTAAAAAAACTTACCACATATTGCCATTACCGTTATTGTTAGAGCCTTTTAAATACCACGCATTAAGAATTTCATTTAAATGTAATTAAACTTCATCGTTTTAAATAATATTATTGCGTAATTTATAAATTCTCAAATATGTCTAGACAATTACTCGTACTAACATTACTTTCATTATTGAGTAGACATCATTTGATACCATGAATAAATTCGTCACTTTTAATGTATATTTGAAATGGGTTTTTAAATGCTGCCACAGATGTGTTAGCGAATAACTGGGCGTTTTTACAAGTAATCAAAAACGTTACGATTGGATGTTTGTCTTTAACTTCGATTTAAATTATTTAATGCTAAGATTCCAATGAATCTGTAATTCTCTGAGATACTCCTTATATTTCAGTGTTGACCTTTTAAACAAGAAGTATGTATATATTTTTATAGGCAATGTTTACTAATTATCTAAAACCGATTTTTATCATGTTTCTATAAATGGCAGTTTACAGCCGAGGAAGAAAATTGGAAGAAAAATAATATATACGAATCCCGATTATCCACCTTGTCTAGGGTGGATAAATTAACGCGCGTTTCCGATTATCCACCCTAGGGTGGATTAAAGATCAGGTCATTTAAAATAGTAATTCGTAGTCATTGACTTGACCAGGACAGTCGTAAGAGTTTATTATGTTACATTGAGGGTTTTTAGAGTGGAGAACACTTTTTGTCTAAATTTCAATCTCACCTGCAACGGTTCAATAGCAGGTAACCTGTTAAATAAAAGGTGAGAAAATAGAGAACCCAAATTTTATAGACAAATGTGACGGGCAAAGTTACCTGGCATTCTGTGGATAATAATTTTGTGTTCACCCTTACAATTGTGAGCATATTTTTCGAGATAGCATGCCCGACGGAGCACTCTTTGGAAGGCCTATGACGTGATGTTAAAGAAACACAAAGTTTATAATAAATAGATTTAAGTTAAAGCTTATTAGATTTGAGTGGTTTACTAAAAAAAGACATTTTTTTATTTTTATTACTGGTTAGAAAAAAATCTATCCTGGCAAGAGCCAGGAAGAAACCTAGTAATAAAATTATACAATAAGAACAAAGATTGTACAAACTATTATACCGTTTAAAAAATTCATACATGGTTGTAGAGAGGCTTTGTATATTATCTGGGACTTTGTTGTAATATCGTAAATATTGGAATCGAGAAACTGGTATCATAAGCTTGTGTTTGTTCATGGTGCTTGCAGAGTGTACATCACTTTTTTTTAATAAAAATAATACTGTTTTATGAACATACAATACATTTTAGTTAAATAATATACTGAAAGGAAACTTCAAATAAAAAAGCTGCAGATGCGAAGTCACCTCAGAGATAGAAGTGTAAAACTCAAAAGCAAAGACTATCCTGTCCTAACAGTGACTAAAGGAACATGTAAGAAAATACAGTATAGGTGTTGGTTTTGTTTAACTTATCTATATCTCTATATATAAAAACCAATTACTGTCCGTTTGTATCGCTAAAACTCAAAAATGGCTCGACCAATTTTGGTGATCATTTTGTGTATGTTTGAATGGGTCTTTAGATGCTTTAGATTCATACTTGGGCCCGGTAGGTGGAAATTTCATTGAGATCCAGAAATCACCGAAGTGCAAAGTCGGGGTGTATCGCTAGTTATATTTATATGAAACACCCGTTACAATACATGAGAATTATCACAGGTGAGGAACACTGTTTCAATTTTAAACCCAATGAAAAACAGAACGTAATTAATTTATCAAACATTACTTTTAAAAACTAATGTATTTTAAGACAAACGTCTTATACGTTTGTCCTAAAATACATTTGTCAAACAAGCTATTAACATCGAATTAAACTTAATAAATTAAATTTAAAACCCCTGGAACAAAAAGAGCTGATGATCTTCAAACGGCTGAACAAATTTTCTTGAAACATCGATGAGAACCCTCTCTTTCAAATGAGCAGGAGTTCATCCGTTTAGGAGCTATATGATGCCATATACAGACACTCGGATACACTCTACAAACTTATAACATCCCTCTGTTTTCGTTGGAGGTTAATAAAAATGAATAGGTGCTTACAAGAATTAGATTTCGTAGTGCATATAGGATCCAATCCATTAAAGCTGCTTTTGCGATATTGACATTTGGACTTTGAATCAGTATGTAATAATAATGACTACCTTAGATTTTTTAGTAACCTCGTTTTGTGGGGATAATCCCCACATTTTTTTATTATTTACAACTTACTGTGCACACGATTTCATACACGCATGTAATATGCTTGCATCCTACTAATATGTAGATTATGTACAAATAACACTATTGTGTATTATAAAGTTATAATAAATTTTTATTAATCTCAAAGAACTGGGGCAGTGAGGCGGCCAATTTGTTAAATGACCCTTTACGTATAAAAGTAAATTATGGTTTATAACTAAATTTCTCTCGATCGAATCAATGCCAAGTAGAATCATGTTTTTAAAAACGTAGATTGATATTTTACAAAAATAGTGCGGGTGGATAAAAGTGTTTGCATTCGCGATAAATATAGATGACCTTTTTATTCATTTAGTTGGTATTAAACTTTAAGAATCTATTTAAATTACAACAAAGATTTATTTCTACATAATTTACATAATTAGATGAATACTTACGTATAAAATATAGACGTTACATGTTTGCGCCATAAACTTAGAGTATATTGACACTTATGTGTAATAAAATACCTACATAAACTTTTAATGAACTTTGTTATTGTTATAAAATGAAAATTAATATAATCACTATGTTTTTGTATAAAATCATATTTTTTACATATTTTTAAAAAGTATTAAATAAGGTCTTTATTGTATTTAATGTTTAAAACGAATGTGTATTTTAACTTTATGCATTGTGTTTTTGGACATTATTACTATTATTAGAATATAATCCTGCTCAGTTTTACGGAACATTATTACTATTATATAATAGTAATAATGTTCCGTAAAACTGAGCTGGATCCTCTTACCTGTAATTAATTGGTATTGATATAATATTATACTGTGACACATATCATCCCGTGGGTGTCGTAAGAGGCGACAACGGGAAACAAATCAGGAGATGGACTGCTAAAATATTCCTAATATCAATTAGAAAATAAACAATAACCGGTATCCAACCCGTCTGTCAAGTATGGCATCTATGGCAAACTCCCCTCATAAGCAACAACGTAAATTGGGGAAGAAAGGTTGTCGAGTGGCAGCTTTGTTTTGAGATAAGTGAAATTTATGGCAACCCCTCACTAGATGCGATAGAGTGCAAGAAAAAGATGCAGGGAGTAAACGGATGCAGGTGGCCCAGGACCGTACTTGGGGAAGATCTATGTTCAAAAGTGGGCTTGTGATGAGAGGTAATTATGTTGTTGTTGATGATGATAATCAATAATGATGATACTATGCTGGATATAATTCAAATCTAAAACACGGACGGGAAAGTACGAATAATGGGTATATAATTTTCCATTAAATTGTACTGAAATCGAATACAAAAAATTCTTACACTATTGAAACATTACCTATTACTACCACTTACAAGCTTTATTGAAACGTGTTATTATCACGTCCAAGCTAAATCCAACGAACAACTAAATGTTCAGAAGTGGTAGTTTACGTTACCTTCACGTAGATCTTAGTATTGTTATTATTAAAGTCTTTCCGACGTCAGCGATTTTAGGACCAATATTGGCAGAATTTGCATAATTCCATTCCGTTTGCTAACCGATTTCTGTGTGTTCCATATATAAAGGATGGAAATGACGGAATTAGCGCAGTACTCGCAGCGCATTGACACAAGAAGCTTTAGCGTAAGTTACTATAAATTATTTTATTTACAATCATATTCTTTTTTTTCCACGTGCAGGTTTCCTCATGATTTTTTCCTTCACCGCAAAACATGAGGAAAATCAGTACCTAAAATTAAAAATAACAATTTCATTATTGCGAGTGAGGATTCATATTCGGGTTACTAGCGACATACGAAATTTATGGCCCGACGAGAGTTGTCTTTGACCACGGCTTCTTGTTTATATATGTTTTTTTTGTTTTCTCCTTCTTTTCAACTACTGATACAAATATTATTTTGATGTGTAAAAATTATTTATTTATTGTATTGAAAATTTCTTTGAGTTCGTCTCGGTAAATATCTCTTACCTATTTTGACGCCAAGTAATGCGTGCACTGCTGTGCTCCGATCTTAAGGCACTAGAGATGCAGTATAGTTACAGACTGACTGCCATTCCATTCTATTCGTCAGTGGTGACATAGTAGCATCTTAGTTTCAAGTTAGTTGCAGGTGTCCATGGACATCAGAAGCCATCACCTTCAAGGTGTAATGTGTACTTGTCACATAAATTTTATATGTGCTTCAATAAGTTGTATTATTTAACTTTACAGAATGAAGACTTTAATTTTGCTATGCACTTTGGCCGCAGTGGCTCTAGCGGCACCTTCTGATACCTACAACCCTCACTACGATAGCTTCAACGCGCAGGAGCTTGTTGATAACGTACGATTATTGAAGAACTACGGCAATTGTTTCCTAGGCAAGGGCCCATGCACTTCTGAGGGAAATGATTTTAAAAGTAAGTCAAAATGTATTTTGAGTTATTATAAAAAATAAAAAAATATTGGCACTTGCATATTTGTATTGAAAGAAACATTTAGTCAATAAGTCAAGTTAGTATGTATCGTGAGTGTCGGTTCGGGGAATCAATCAATCAATTTTAAGGTCTATCTATAGTGAATGGTACAATCATATTTGTATGAAAGATATCCACCGTATGAATATGGCATATGGATTCGAATGAATATGGAGGAGGACTTAGTTTAGAAAACGGACTATTTACATATCTAAAAGGAGGTGGAGAACGGCAGAGACGGGAAAGTTCAAATAAATTAATTGTTGAAGAGGGGTTTTGTTACAACAAATATGAATTAAATTAAATTTATCGAGATTTATTTAAGGGAAAAAATTTATTAACTTCCTTACTCAAACACAAACCTCAACATAAAAACATATAAAAAGAAATTAATTTATTTTGCTGTTCATAAGTTTAGAATGATATCCAACAACTACGATAAGTAGCCCTTTTTCAATCGACTTCAAAAAAGGTGGAGGTTCTCAATTTGACTGTATTTTTTATGTGTGTATAACTTTTTCCTAGGTGAACCGATTTTGATTCCTTTTTTATTTGTAAGCTGGTGCTTCTCTTGTGGTCCCGTATACATTTGATCAAAGATCTGACCAGGAGCTTTTTTATTATCCTTAATAATGCGTATTTAATATGACTACATTGATGATGTTCATACTTTATTTATATTGGAGTGGCTTGTTCAAAATTTTTTATTTTACCACTTGTTATTGTTTACCGTTACATATCAAAAGTCGACAGCTAGACATAAGTATCTCATGTAAATTGTCATAAAGAAGGATATTTGCCATGGTTGCCACGCTTTACAGGCGGATTGGCAACCGTAGATTTTATCTTTTAGTTGTTATCAGGAAGAAGCTGCTGCTAATTTCCTGGCTTAATTCCGTTTTTCACCTTTACAACATCTACGGGACGATTTGTTGTAAAAATTTTACACCGCCACTAAACTCTTAACGGTTTGTTTTAAAATAATTTAGCAACGTTAATTTTAATCGTTACAATCTGATCTTAATGCTGCAATATATCGTTGTTTTATAACATTAGAGCGAACTTAAATTCGGATTGAGGAAAACAAAAAAGGAGTATGTGTTGTCACGTTCTTACAATAAAAAAATAATAATCGACTTGGATTGAGGAAAACAAAAAGTGATATTAAACTTCCAATTCTTAGTAATCTCTCAGGATATATTTTAAATGTTCCACTTACTTCCTTCCAAAACAAAACGACGGCATTTAAGGTTAAGGTAAACAAGCCATACACGATACTGTTAATTGTGTTATTATATAATATAGCTTTTATGTAGTATAGGCATAGCCACTTTGTTTTACTAAATGACTAGTGTAGTGCTCGTGTAAGAATATCCACTAACCCATATTATCGCTTGGGTGTCGCAAGAGAAAAACAAATCGGGACGATGGGCAGCGGCGTCTTCCTAATATGGACTAAAAATAAAAAATCCGGTTGCCAAACCGCTTGCCAAATCACGCGCTAAGCGTGGCAACTTTGGCAAATATGAGCAAATATAATAGGAGCGAATCTATGGGGGAGGCCTATGTTGAGTGGACTTTAATAGGCTGTAACCGTAAATGACTAGTACAAGGGTGCACATTACATTGTAAAGTATGTGACCAACATCATGGCTATGATCATAATGTACCAATCAAAGTCCACTACTGGACTAGAGTGTCTCCTGTTGTAGGGAGATTTTGTCCTACTCGTCACGCTTATCAAGTGGAATGTGTGACGTCTCACACCTTTGATGCTGTTCCCGTTGCCAGAATATATATATATATATATATATATATATATATATATTAAAACTAGCTATTGGCAACCATAGTTTTTTTTGGCGTTTCCTAAAAATCGCTTCTTACGACATCCACGAGATGAGATGATGGATTATTTTACACGATTTTTCCTTTTAAATATAATAAGCTTTAACTGAAATCTAATTTTTTTAATAAACTTTGAATTTTTTTAACATCACGTCACAAGAACAGGTTCGTAATCCTTGCGCTGATGTAGGTCTTCCCAAGAGTGCTCCATTGGGCATACTTATCTCGAAAGATATGCTCACAATTGTAAGGGTGAACACAAAATTATTATCCACAGAATGCCAGGTAACATTGCCCCAACACATTTGTCTGTAGAATTTGGGTTCTCTATTTTCTCACCTGTTATTTAACCAGTTATCTGTTATTGAACCGTGTGCAGGTGGGATTGAAATTTAGACAAAAAGTATTCTTCACTCTATAAACCCTTAATTTACATACATAATAAACTCTTAGGACTGTCATGGTCAAGTCAAAGACTTCGAATTACTATTTTAAACGATCGGGTTATTTCCTTTATCCACCCTATAGAATCCACCCTAGGGTGGATACTCGGAAACGTGTGTTCATCTATCTATCCCCAGACAAGGTGGATAATCGGGATTCATATATACATTATTTTTCTTAAAGTTTTCTTCCTCGACTGTTAACTGTCATATATAGAAACGTGACAAAAACTGGCTCAAGATAATTAGTAAACATTACCCATAAAAATATATACATACTTCTTGTTTGAAATGTCAACACTGAAATATAAGGAGTACCTCAGAGGATTACAGATTCATTGAAATCTTAGCATTTAATAAGACAAACATCCAATCGTAACGTTTTACAATGCTTGTAAAGCATTGACTTATATATATTACTTGAAATCATTGTTGTAAAGACGCCCAGTTATTCGCTAACACATATGTGGCAGCATTTAAAAACCGATTTCAAATATACATTAAAAGTGACGAACTTATTCATGATATCAAACGACGTCTACTCAATAATGGAAATTAATATTTATAATTATCTAGACATATTTCAGAATTTATACATTACGCAATAATATTATTTAAAACGAGGAAGTTTAATTACATTTAAATGAATTCTTAATGCGTGGTATGTAATAGGCTCTAACGGTAACGGTAATGGCAATATGTGGTAAGATTTTTTTTTTGATAAGGTTTGTGGTATGGTATGTATTGAATTGTACTTGGGGTAAAAAGTCAGAAGTACAATAAAAAGTACATTCCAATTATTAACGCGTGTTCATGTATCGTTAGATGAACACGTGTTTCCGAGTATCCACCCTAAGATGAATTATTTATGGTGGATAAACGGAATAGCCCTAATGATCTTAATACTCCTCTCTCGCTTCTTTCATATACATAAACCTAACCATACACCCTCGTATGCATATCTTCATATATCGCTAATTTAGTCAATAAACTTCCGACTAGGGTGTCCGTTCTCGGCCCTTACACTGCACCATAAATTTGCTTGGTAGACTGTTCCTCATTCACAATTTATATCCAAATCACGTGGTAGAGTCATGCTGCAGTTATATTAGTAGTATAATTGTAGCACGAATGGCTCGGCTCGACCGGGTAAGGACCACGCTCTCAAAGAATACCAGCGTAAAATAGTAGCTCAATACTGCTGTGTTTCGTATGGTGAGTGTAGAGAATCGGAGACCCTTTTTACTGCAAACGAGGTATTCCATCTTAGTCCTCATGGGTGACAACGCATCTATAGATGTAGATGTCTATGGGCCGCAGCAACCTCACCATCAGGTGGAATGTGTGCTCGTTGTCCTATAAAAAATACCATCGAAACATTGGCATAATATATTTAATATGATTATGTTAAATATAACCTTTTTTTCTACACAGAAATAATTCCTGAGGCCTTAAGAACCACTTGCGGCAAATGCACGCCGAAACAGAAGGAGCTTGTAAGGACTGTCGTTAAAGGATTCCAGACTAAGTTGCCAGACATATGGCAGCAGTTGGTACTGAAAGAAGACCCCACAGGCGAATACAAAGAGTCCTTCGAACGATTCCTTAATGCTAGCGATTAAGACTGTCAGAGTTTACTTTTGAACCGGTTCTCAAATGTGATATTGAAATTCATTAATACATCACAGAAAATGTTCATCGTTTTTACACAGAACATTTAAATTTAATTTTATGCTAATAATTATTTTGTTATAATAATTTACACTGGATTTTTTAAATAAAATATAGAATTATATACTTAGCTTTATTTGTTGTTTTTCAACTTTATTCCAATTTTACAAATATTTCCAGTTTAAGCAATTGATTGCATCGTTTTTGAATACATCCAATTATTCCAAATCGAAATCCAACGAACTAGTGAAATGCGATGAGGAACGGTAGGTACTATCAATAAGAGGTTATATTTAAAACTATTTCTTTCGTAAATATAAAGCCTGGTTTTCACGCACTGGAGAACTGTATAGCACTTACTGCCCTAGTCTCGTGAGATCAACTAGAAGTTCTTTCCAAACGGTCATTTCAACAAAAAAAAAATCACAAGAATTTCAAACATTTTTGATTTCACAAATAATAGGAGTAAAAGAGATAGCACTACCTTTCATCCATAGATTTATTATAAATTGACGATATTATCTATGTTTTCATCGCTCTCGCCCTTTTTCCCCATCCTTTTCTACAGTAGGTAATAGTGTTCTGTGATAAGTAGTAAACTAAGTAAATTAAATTATAGAAAAAATGTGAGTTTACGTTTAGAATTTAGATGAAATATATATGGGTAAAAACATAAAGTCAAAAATTGTACGTTACTCGGAATATAAATCTGGTAATGTTTAGCAAAAACAGTAAATGTGTTGCATTATATCACGTATTTTTTAATTCACTATATTTTATTCATTTGTTATGTACTGTAAAATACAAATGAATACAATAATGTGTTAAAATTAATTAATTTAAAGATACACTATGATGGATAATTATATATCTGCATGATGGATGAAGGAAAGATGGACCACACCTAGTTAGGCTGTTAGTTTAGTAGCTTAGTTGCTTCTTAAAAGAACGTGATAGTTCCAGACATCATTATTTACCACCGGTTGAGATACGGGCGAAATTCCTAATTGTTATGCGTTTTGGTTCAAATGAATCCAGGTGCTGGTATTTACGTTGCACAATCACAAGCAGCTGCTTCTCACTTGAGTCAGTTTCCATAGTGCTGTTCCATGTCAACGTTAATGGCTTGATTTATTTTTTAGCACCACAAAATAAAATTTCCAACATTATTATTGGGACATACTTTGATACAACAAACTGTGTAAATTAAGATCGGTTTCATACTTAATAATTCCAACCGAAACCCTTTAGAAGATATAATTTTAATACCACAACATAAAATGTCCAACATTATTTATGAAAATTTGCTTTGATACAACAACCTGTATATATTTTGCAGGGTTCCGTACTTAAAAAATTACCCGGAAACTCTTTGATGAATTTATCTGTCTATATAGGTCTTCATAGCCATTTTTTCGAGTGACGCTTGACATTCAACCACTTGGTTATTTTATACTACCTAATTATTATAGAAGACTAAAGAAACAGCTTCTAGAATTTTTTACAACCACTCCAGTGCTATGAATTATGAATCACCATTATATTAATAGATTATTTTTATTAATTGCATATTTATTATAAGTATATGTCCCACTTATGATGATTTAGAAGGCCGGACACACATCTTGCTAATAAGATATTACATCCATTTACAAATACCCATATACAATACAAATACACCCATTTGTAAATATTGTGATAATAACTTGAAAATTTTCAAAATACACACTCACAGCATATTAGCTTGCTTAGTATCGAAGTGACATCACGGCTAAATCTAATATGGCACAGGCACAGATTTAAACAAAAATCTTTTAATTATAAAATTCAAAATGCATTTTTATTATTACAAATCAACATTTCTCGTTTATTTTTTACAAAATACTTATATCATAAATTCGTATTTTTTCATGGAATAAAATACTACAGTTTCGCTAACGTTTGAGTTAGAAATACTCGTGGAATGAATTAAGAATATTAAATCAAATAATTGCTGTAGGTTGAATAAGGAATACAAATCAGTTGAGTATGGAAAAAATATCTTAGGATGAGAAGTCATAGAATGAATACGGAATAACCCAGAATTCCTTTGATTTAGACAACTCCAGTTATTCTATCACGTCATTATTATAACTTATTTTCGTATCTTTTCGTATCTTAATGTGCATAGCTAATTATTATTATACCAGTAAGCGTTAAAGGTTTCCATTGTAAGTAGACGGTCTTCAACATTCTGATTTAATTGTGTAAATTATCCATTTTACAGTGTCAAGTCAAAATCGCTTAATTTTCTTTGTACAGTTTTAGTGAAACTTAAAACAATATCATCCTGCCTGTAGACTCAACTTATCATAATAGTAACTTTTAATATTTAATAAAAATAATGTGTACCTTTCATGTTAATTCGTGAGGTGGTTACCTTGACTCCTACGTAGTACTATTATTTATTCTGTGCTTCTACATACCTATATTATAATAATATCTTGCCTATGAAACTGCGGTTTTGTATGGAAAATGAATATCATTGCTTTACATAATAAACTGTAATCACATCTTTATATTCGATGTAACCTAAAATATTAAAGCATCGTTGCCATTTTATAGGTAGTTTGTTAATGACCTTATTAAAGAAGTCCGCTGCAAGAGAATCGATGGATTCTTTATGCTTTTGTGGCACGCAATGGTAAAGGTTACCATTGATTTACCTTCCGATTAACCTTTCGTTTCAGCCACTGTTTGGATTGGATACCTGATTCTGACCACTGTGATGAACACCTGCAATTGTCGTATGGAAACAACTACTCATCTCACAATGTTCTTGCTATGCCAGTACAGCAATATGATGCAAACTTAGACGCGGGCCCCCCGCTTTGCCTCTCTCAGTGTATAGAATATGGGGCGCATAGACATCTACATTTATCCTTGATTAAGAATCAAAATGCAGATGCGTTGTCACCCTTGTGGAATAAGATGGAATGCCTCGTTTCCAGTAAAAAGGGTCACTGGTTCTCTACAGTCGTCATACGACACATAGTAAAATTAACCGCTATTTACGCTGTTATTCTGTGTGAGCGTGGTCCTTCCCTGATTGAGCAGACTAATAATTATATTTAAAACATTAAAAACCCTTCCATTTTAAAGCTCATTTTAAAACGGATCCGCTTCCACTTCACTTTGCCTTCAGTACGTAGTTGTCATTTTTCCTCAGCGTTCGACCATGATATTCATTTGTGATATTAATAATACCGCAAAATTGTTAGCAAAATCTGCAACATACCACAATTATTTTTAATTATACCGGTCGGTTTCACTAGACCGGTTGATTCGCTCACGCTTACAATATGTCTTTTATATTTTTCTAACAGAAACAATTAGAAGAAAGTGAATGGCTGAGCTTCTATTTCTTTCTATTCTATTTGTTTCTAAAATCGAGTTTTAGAAACATATAGAATTGATATGACATATAAATTTGGAAAAAAACATTATCTTAGTACAATACATCAAAATCGTTTTCGAGAAAACTCGTTAAAGTCGTTTCTGAGAAGCTATTTAAATTACTGCTGGAATTCAGTAAAGTAAATACAACCCATATACTCGATACTAGTTTTACATTTATGTTGATTTGTCGCACTATGCGTGGCGACATGTAGCTAGCGAGCCACTATAATGAATTGAATTAAAGAAACAAATGAACAACTGATTTCGGAAAAGGATTATCATGCCGATAATATAAAATTTATTTTAATTTAGTAAGGTTAACAATTCAAAATGGTCAACTTAACAAGACGGTAATTTCATAACTAAGTATCTAATGTTATGATATTATGAATTTATGTCCAATTTCAACGTAAATATTCTGACCGGTATCGATACAGCCTATGAAAGTCCACTGCTGAACAAGGCCTCCCCCATAGATTGCCTCATAGTGGGGATATTTGTCATAATTGCCACGTGTTATGCACACGTAAGACCTGGCAAACTCTCACCTGGGTAATTGTTGTAAGTTACGTAGGCCGTACGCTTTTTACTAGAAACGAGGCATTCCATCGTAGTCCCCACGGGTGACAACGCATCTCCATTTTGATTCGTAATCGAGGTCTATGGGCCGCAGTAACCACTTACCATCAGGTGGACTGTGTGCTCATTTGTCACCCTTAGCCTATAAAAAAGACGTAATGAATAAAATTTACTAAGTATTTAACAAAAAAGGTGATATTTATAATCTATAAGTGTCTACCTACACATAATTACATTTAAGTGTCTGACTGTTATATCGAAATAACTGCCTAATAATGAGCTGAGGGGGTTCTTTGAATGCTATTAGGACTATGTGTGTGTGTGTGTGTGTGTGTGTGTGTGTGTGTGTGTGTGTGTGTGTGTGTGTGTGTGTGTGTGTGTGTGTGTGTGTGTGTGTGAGAGAGAGAGAGAGAGTTGTATGTAATAAGTCTATATATGTAATATATATATATATATATATATATATATATATATATATATATATATATATATATATATATATATATATATATATATATATATATCCTTTCTGTTTTGATTATTATTAATTTCATCCAACTAATCTCTTAATCTCTTATATGTCTATTATCTCTGTTATAGGTTGACTGGCAGAGAACGCCCTATGGCATTAAGTCCGCCAAATGTACAACTTGGTGTATGAAAATATAAATAAATAAGCAAATCATTTTTTGCCCTGTTATGTAGGCGTAATGAAATCCTTCCCCCTATTACTTTGGGTATCGTAAGTGGGGACCTTGAAATACGCCAGTAGTATCTTGTGATTTTCGATAGATGGCGTGATAACTTTCTCCATACGCCAGGTGTAAAATAACAAGAACGGCTACATACAGGAGGACAAAAGGGCGAGACGTCTGGTACCGCGATATTGGATCAGGCTACCAAGAGTGATGATAAGGTTAGAGAAAGCCATGGT